ATGTTTACAGCTGTTTCTCTTTAGTTTGATTTGTGGCCCATTAGCAAATGAAGGTTCTGTGAGCATTTCTGCCCCGAGCTTAACTCTATTCACATCATCGTGGTCATCTTGGTCAACTCTACTTTGAGGAGGCATTTTTTTCCCCAGTCGCATTCTGAGTGACTTCCCACCTCCCGGTCCTGTATCTGACAGTGTTTCTCTGCTATTCATAGAGTTTTCAGTGACTAGCGATTTGGACGTAGTTTGTCACTCTTTCTTCCTAGTCTGTCTTTGTTTGAAAGCTCATCTGAAACCTGTCCACCATGGGTGACCCTGCTGGTTATTTAAAATATCGGTGGCATAGCCCTCAGAATCATAGCAGTTCATACCACCATGGCACGACAGACAGACAAGTGGCGGTTGCGTGGTTGCTGTTAAATAGGAATCTCCTTGTGCTACAGCCCTTAAGTCCGGCTCAAAGGTGGGATTTCCATCCTCGGATGTCACTCAAGAGGCGGAAGTGCATCAGGGGTGACTGGGTTGTAGCGAGACGCTTTGGGCTTAGCTTGTGGGTCTCTAAGTTGGTCGACCCCGCCTCAAAGCCTCGATCCTGACTTGATTGGTGGTAATAGAAAAAAAGAAAGAAAAGAACAAAGACAAATTGACACACATACATCATTTATCCAGAATCCTTTAAAAAAAAAAAAAAATTCTGGCAAAGGAAACTTAATTGTCTTGGAACTGTGATTCTTCTTAAGACTTCTTCGGGTCAAAGAGATATGCAAACAGGGTTATTGAAGTCCAGCTCATTTCAGCAGCCACCTGGAGAGGATGAGAAGAAAGGAAATTGAGATTCTTATTGACTGTCCTTGAAGATAATCAGTCCACCTATCAAACTTCCTTTTTCTTGACATGGAGGAGAGTTGGAATTGAAGGACCATAAGAAGAAGGGAGAGATGAATTGAACGTTTTCTTAGTAGCACTAGTGAAAGAAATGGAAAAGTTATTTGGTGGGTATGAGTGATTGCTTTTTAGATTTATTGAGTTGAAGAGGATGAGACATCAACGTTGAAAATTTCAGTATCATGTTAGTGATTTATATACAGCATAAATGGGCCTTGGAGTTCTTCAAATATATATTTACTGACATCAAAGAAGAGGACTATACTTAGAAACCTTCTTGCTTTTCAGCAAGTTCATGTTTCATAGTTTGTTGTGAAGTGCCACTGAGTTGGTTCTGACTCATAGCACTATATAGGATTTCCAAGGAGTGGTTGATTTGAAATGTTGATCATGTGGTTAGCAATTCATTGCTTATCCTACAGTGCCACATCCCTGGACTCTTTAGTCAGTGTAATTGTTCTTGTGATTCGTGCATGAAGACACTTTAAAAAATTTTAGAAAATGGAAGTAAAAGATAATAGAATTTTTCCACCAACTTTTTGAAGCTCCATCGTGTATTATTGTACACAGATCATGCAAAATAAAATTTAGTTAACTTGACGTATGAGGAATTTACGAAATGCATCTTTTTTTTATTATTATTATTTTAACTTTTGAATTGGGTGAAGGTATACAGAGCAAATCAGTTTTCCATTTAGAAATTCGTACACGTTTTGTTTCATGTCACTGATTACAGTCCCCGTAGTGATGTATCATCTCTTATCCCACTTCTCCCGGTATTTCCCATTTCTTCCTTCTTTTCACCCTTCTGAACTTTGTCCTTGGACAAATCCTGCCCTTTTGATCTCAAATGGATGATTATTGTAAGATGTGCCTACCTAAACCTAACTAGTGTTACTGTACCCCTCAATGACTTGTCTTTTATTTGGCTGAATAGTGAGCCATGGGGGTAAGTTTTAGGCCTGAAGTGTGACTAAGGACCATAGTCTTAGGGCTTCTGCCAGTCTCTATTCAAACATTAAACCTGGTCTTTTATGAATTTGAATTTTGTTCCTTACTTTTCTCTGTCTAGGACCTTCTAATGTGATCCCTTTCAGAACAGTTGGTAGACAAATATATCTTGACTGAGAAAACTGTCATAACAAAGTAGCAAATAGTGATTTTTAGCTAAATAATACAAATTCTATTGTTTAGTGTTCTTAAAACAGTTTAGAATATGAACAATATGTTGTTGTTGTTATGTGCTGTGGAGTCGTTTTCGACTCATAGTGCCCCTGTACAGGGTTTCCTAGGCTGTAAATCTTTACGGGAGCAGAAAGCCTTTTCTTTCTCCCACAGAACAGCTGGTAGTTTCGAACTGCTGACTTTGTGGTTCGCAGCCTGATGATTTGTGACCACTATGCTACTAGAGCTCCTTATGAGCAATATAGACATTATAAAATTTCTATTATACTGTTCAGCAAAATTACGTATTACCTTTGTGTATTTTACTTTTGTTATTTGAATTTGTGAACAATTCTCCACTTCATATCACATTGTCTTTTTTTTTTTTAATAGAGACATTGAACACTTCTTGTTCCATATTTGCTTATTACATGAATTCATAATTTCATGGCATCTGACATTTAGCATTCTGGCTATCTAAAATGCTGGTGGCACTATGGATAACTTCACTTATGTCAGTTTGCAGATGCATCACTTTTATATAATTTATGTTGCTGTTAAGTCCCATTGCGTTGATTCCAACCCTAGTGACACTGTATAGGGTTTCCATGTAATAGCTGGTGAATTTGAACCACTAACCATGTAGTTCAAATGACTCTGAGGTCTGATGTGATAAATGGAAGAAAGTTTCTCTGGTATAATGCTGTTTTCAAAGACTGGCTCATTGTGAATAATTCAAAAATGTCATTAGAAGGGTTTATCAGAAAGAGAATAATACTGGTTATTTTGACTGAACGTTTTTTAATTCACTAGTTGTTACGTGCAGTTGAGTCAGTTTGGACTTAGAGCGACCCTATGTAGGGTTTCCAAGGAGTGGCTAGTGAGCTTGAACCATGTACCTTATAGTTCAAACTGACATTGCAGTTCCGCGCATTAAACCACAGTGCCAAGCCAGAACTCTTAATTCACTAGTTGTTGGCTGCAGATTAATGATAGAATTGGTAATAAAAATGTTCTCATATTTTAGCAAGTGATACATAAAAATATTACTTTCAATAAACTGTTTTCACATTCAAGTGAGTGAAAATATATGTATTGCAAATTTGAATACCCCGCTTCATTTCCTCTACCCCATCTTAGCAAGAGTAAGCTTTCCTTGGTAAGTAATTTAAAATTATTGTTATTTTTATTCCTAGTTGTTTTTTCCCTCATAGAATTAAGTCACAATGGTAATGTCTGAGTTGATTTTTTATCCCTATGCAAACTGATTATTAGAATTTCTTTTTGAATTCTCATATTTTGCTTGAGTAGTAGTACAAAAATTTTTATTTTTGAATATTCACTATAACTTTTATTTACCATGTAAACAACTTAGAACTCATGTATTGCATTACAGATGGTTTGACATTGGCTGTTTGATAGTTGAAGATCCTGTCCATGGTGTTCACCTTGAAACGTTTACACAAGCCACACCGGTGCCTTTGGAATTTGTACAACAGGTTGGTTCTCTCATTTTCTTCTTCATTATGTTTCTGGAGAAACTTATGATTGCATTTTAAAGTAAAACCTTGTATTACATAACTTACTGGAAATATGATATTTAATTTGTGTCATTTTTTTAGCCTTTTTCCTTCTTTTCCAACATCCTATTTTTTTCCATGTTTTGGTAGCTGCATACTTTTGTTTTCCTACCATTTTTGAACAGATAATACTTTACATAGTTAGTGTTTTCCATATTTTTTCCTTTGCTTTTATGATTGTATTTTCTACCTATAGTTTATGAAAAAAACAAAACATTTTTAACCTCTAGTGTGGCACTATACGATAAGTACTTGATCTCAAGGTCAGTGTGAGCCCCAGAATCAGTGGTTCCAACTCATCAGCCGTTCTTTGAAAATCCTTTACAGGGTCCCTTTGAGTCAGAACCAACTCGGTGGCACTTAACAACAACGTATTTTTGCTCACCTTTATTTACTTTCCCTTTTATCTCACATTAGTTCTACTGTTAAACTTTCTCTTTTTCTTTTAAGGTAGGTTTTTTTCTTCATTTGTTCATCTTCAGTAATAAGCCCTTATTTGATCGTCACATCTTAACTTTTATTTACTGAAACTAGAATTAATATTTACATCCACAAAATTTTCAGTAAGCATAAATGTTTGATGATGTTGATTCATTTCATGTTTTCATGTAATCTTTTATGACACTTATAATTTGGAGCATTATTCAGTGTTACTTAAAACTACCTCTTAAGTTGTTTGGGACTTGTATGCATTTAAGATAATCTCATAAAACTGTTGGATCCTCTTCGAAGGTGTATACTTAAATTTAAATTTGGCATATGTGAGTGGGCTTCAAAAAATTAATGAAAAAATGGAGTTAAAAGATAATGGAATTTTTCCATGAGCTTTTTGAAGCTCCCTTGTGTGCTCATTTTGTTGTTGTTGTTGTTGTTGTTGTTGTTGTCAGGTGCCATCGATAGAATCCCAGAAAACACCTTATGGTACTCTTGAAGGTTTATAATGTACAAAGGAGTCTGACAATCGTTGTTAGAAACATTGACATTTTCTTAAACCTTGTGTTTATGCCATAGTTTTTACCATAATTTGAAAAGTTCAAGAAAACACATATAGGTTTGAAAGCTAAAAACAAATACTGTGCATAATATATTACACTCATACCAAAACACAAAACCAGACCTGTTGACAGTGAGTTAATTCCAACGCTGAGTGACCCTGTAGGATAGAGGAGAACTGCCATGTAGAGTTTCCAAGGCTGTAAATCTTCATGGAAGCAGACTGCCTCATCCTTCTCCAGAGTGGCTGTCAGTAAGTAGCCAAGCACTTTAACCACTGTGCTACTAGGGCTCTTGTTATACTGGTAAGTTAGATAAAATTGTTGTGAATTGTCATATGTGGCTCAAGAGTAAATATTGATCGAACCATACAAAATTGTCCTTGAAGAAGAAAAAACAAGTAAAATACTGGCAAATTCATGTGCTGCAACCTGATTCAATTATCCAAACAAAGCTTTACAAAGAAAAAAAAAAATTCTATCTAGCTCATACAAGTACTGGTTCCTAATAGTTTTAGGAACAGATGAGTCTCATATTTCATACAAACCACTGCTGTTAAGTCAATTCTGACTCATTGTCACCCTACATAAGACAGAGTAGAGCCAAGGTTGTAATCTCTATGGGGAGCTCTGGTATGGTACTGTAGAATAAGTACTGGGCTGCTAACTGCAAGATTGGTGATTCAAAACCAGCTGCTCCTTGGTTACCCTATACAAGGTTGCTGTGAGTTGGAACTTACTCAGAAGCACTTAAAAAAAACAAAAATCACTCCCACATCTGTCTCCTGTGGGGCAGCTGGTGGGTTCAAACTGCCAGCCCCTTGGTTGGCAACAAAGTGCTTTTAACCGCTGTGCCACCAGAGTTCCTCATGTTGTATGAGTATCAGAAATAGAAGTAGAACGTATCCCATCATCTAATATTACTTAGAAACTAAATGTCAGAATTATTGGTAAAATAGATAAATATTAAACCAACACGTTCTGATCAAGGAGAATGTGTCCTTCAAATGACATGATGGTTCAATAATAACATATCAGTAAATAATTTAGTACTTGAACAGATTAAGGAGTGAAAGAAATTTAATAGATGGTGAAAGGTATTTGCTTGAAATAGCTTTTATTTGTCAAATAACCTTTAGCTATTTAGGAATAGAGGGATGTATATGTACTGGAACATTAAAGCAAACATCAGATACGATAAATGTTTTATTAAGTATGTGAAGTCAGTTTCAACACATAGTGACTTTGTATAGGGTTTCCAAGGAGTGCCTGGTGGGTTTGAAACAACAACCTTGTGTTCAGCTTATCCTATAACACCACACATACATTGTTGTTAAGTGTGGTTGAGTCGGTTTGGACCCATAGCGACCCTGTATAGGGTTTTAGGGGAGTGGCTAATGAGTTTGAACTGCCAACTTTGTGGTTCAAGCTGACCTTGTAGTTCAGCACATTATCCTGCAGCACCACGCCAGGACAAACACATTAGAGACTTTATAATTAGGGATGCTCCTATCGTTGCCACTGTTTAACGTTGCTCCTGATCAGAGGTCATCAAATAATGGTCCATAGCCAAATTTAACGTCCTGCCTGTTTTTGTGAATATGTTTTATTGTAACACACCCATACCTTTTATTTGCATACTGTATATGACAGCTTTCACATGCAGTGGCTAAGTATTGGAGCACTATACCTGAAAGGCTTGCAGTTCAAACCCACCAACTGCTCTATGAGAAAGATATGAAGCATTATTCTCCATAAACAATGACTGCTTCAGAAATCCTACTGTGCATAATTCCTATGCATAATGACCCTAAAAGACTGAGTAGAACTGGAATTGGAGTCCTAGCGTGGCACTGTGGGTTAATGTGCCAGACTGCAAAGCTGTATGAACTACAAGTTCAGCAGCTTAAGCTCATCAGTTGCTCCTCAGAAACCCTATACAGGGTCGCTATGGGTCTGAACCGGCTCAACAGCACTTTAACAACAACAAGAACACACATAGGAATTGGCTGACTGGCCTTGGGTTTGGTTTGGATTTCACACTGCAGCTACAATTGAGTAGTTACAATAGTGAATATCTAGTTGACAAGCCAAAAATATTTATTATCTGGCCCTTCTGAGGAAACATTTGCCAACTTCTGAACTAGGTGTTCTATTACAGTAAAAAAGACTTGTAATGTAAAAAAAAAATTTTTTTTAGGAAAGGAAATGTGGCAAAGAAGAACAAAGAGGGCCTATGTATATTCATGTTTTAAAATATCTAGAACATACACTAAACACAAAACGGCAAACAGTGCCATCCGGTGTGGTTCCATTTATTGGCAGGGAGGATAAATGTGCTTTAAAATGTATGTAAATGAATAGAGAGGGAAAAAAGGTCCTGGAAAGATACATAGTAAACTGTATATTTAATAGGGTTTAACAGTGGGGAATGGTATTTAGAGCGTGTCATTTGCTTTTTACTCAGCCGTTTATTCTGTTTTTGTTTTATTTCTTGTCATGTGGTTTGAAATTCAGAAGTGATGAAAGAATTCAGAAGACACATACATTAATATTCCTTCCTTCTGTCTCCAGCCGTTCCACTCTCCTCCCCTGGGGTACTGTCACTGATGCCCCTTTCTTTTTTTATCCATCCCGAGTTTTATGGTTGCGCTTCTTTATTATTTTTTTATTTAAAAGAGTAGAGATCAGCTCTTCAGAGAATTATAATTATCATCCTTCAGTGAAAGTTTGGAAAATAAATTGATCTAGTTTATGCTTGTGTGAACTTGATTATAAATGATCTCCTCTTAGCCCCCAATTAGAAACCCAGCTATTCTGGGGTTTTGCTATTCAAAAGAGAGATCCTTAGCCTAGCATCTTAAGCATTATCCTGAAACTTGATAAAAATGCAGACTGAGGCTCCAACCCTGAGCTACTGAATAAGGATCTGCATTTTAACAAGACCCACAGGTGATTCTTATGCATATTAAAAGTTTCAGTAACAAAGTTCTGCTTGTGTTAATGATAATCTGCTATTTCTCTGTTGTTGTTAAGTCTTCCAGTGATTTCTGACTCATAGTGACCCTGTATATGATTTTAGAGACACAACTAGTGGGTTTGAACTGTCAGCCTTGTGGTTCGCAGCCCAGTGCTGATCCTACAGCGCCATACTGGGAGTCCATTTCTCTTTGAAACAGTGTAACACTGATGTTTTCATTGTTAAGTGTCATGGAGTCAACTTCAATTTATAGCAGTTATTTTTTAAATGGATTGAAACCTTAAATTTCTCCTCTTAGTAAAATTACAGAATTTTATGACAATAACAAGATATAGATAATATTTGTATTTTACAACTAATCTAATTACTAGAAGTGGCACTGACTATAGAACTAGAACTTGAACCCTCTAACTCTGAACATTGGTAATGGAGTCAATAGATTTAAGACTGATTATATTTGCAAAACAAAATGAGTTTAACATAGATATTTTAAACAGAGTAGATATATGTAATAATATTTTGATTTGTTTTTAATAGTCTTATAACTTCATTGTAGTTGACAACCTGGCTGTGTTTCTCAGGATTTCTCATAATCTGTATTAAAAGTAACCTGAGAAACTTGGAAATGTCACTTAGTAAGTAATACAACTTGTTCCAGTGATATTTTTAAATGTATTATAAATAATAATCTACTTCATTTTTTCCAATAGGCTCAAAGTCTAACTCCCCAGGACTACAATTTAAGGTGGTCAGGCCTTTTGGTCACAGTGGGCGAAGTCCTGGAAAAGAGTTTAGTAAATGTCAGCCGGACTGATTGGCACATGGCTTTTACTGGCATGTCTCGTCGACAGATGATCTACAGTGCAGCCAAAGCGATAGCAGGCATGTATAAGCAGCGCCTACCACCTAGGACCATGTGAGAGAAGACTGAAACTTTTCCTCTCTTAGCTTGATGCAAAAGAAGATTTTGTATCATCTATAACTTGAATAGCTTCAATGAATCTAGCAGTTTTTATAATTTTCCTATAGGCTACTGTCTTTCATTTTTTATAAGGGCATGGTGTCATTCCAGCAGCTGCAAAGAAACAGGTCCTTTTTAAGATCTATATATCATAGTTCTCAAAAATACATATGTAAGTTATTAATAGTGCAGTTTGATATATCAAATTTATAAAATGGAGAGTCTAAGAAATTTTATGATGTATACTTTAATATTTTGTTTTTTGGTAAAGAAGACAGTTAATTTAAAAACATGTTTATTGAATACCCTTTGAAAAGCTTTGTGTTTTAATCATCATTGATCTCTTGCCTCTGTAATCTGTGGACCATTTTGTGTGCACATGAGGTCAGCAGTGTACCTACTGTAGCACACCTGCTTACATGGTGATGGGACACGTGGCTGTGCATGTTTTCAACAACATGGGCCAAGATACCAGAATTGATCATTTTCTCTTGTCATCATGTATAGGCTGAAAGGTTCTACTTTATTACTATTTTTGGCAGTTCACAGATTCCTACATTTTGTTTGTTCCTTTCTACACGATAAAACTAGCAAAACCTCAAGTGTATTTTAAATCAGAAGGATTCATGTTATTTTGTATAAAACTATTTAGTACTTCTAAGTCTTAACTTGACAACATCCATTGTTTTTGCACCACTTACATTCTCTAAATTATAATAGAGAAATTTTGAGAGGGAATTATTTTACTGTTTATGGGCTTATATATCTCTTAGTTAAAATTACTTCTTATTAGTTTGCCTTAAACACTACATTTCTAACCGTGTGCCCCTCTATTCTGCCTTTGCTTTTTCTGGAAATTTTCAAAGAAACTATTTTGTATTCATCCTAGTATATTTAGCCCATTTTGTTTTGTTTGTATTTCCCTTTGTCCTCAACAATATATTTTGGATCTATATAAATCACAAATATTTTCTCTTGTGCTGTTGAATTCTGTATAAGTGCAAGTAAGCATTTTGAAGATATTTTCTTGTATAAATGTAATTGAATTTTTATGTACTCTTCTATATAATTCTTGAGATGTAAAAGGATTCACTCAATTCCTTTAGTTTTACAAAAGATGTTGAAACTTTTATCCTGTACTGTCTTTACATCTGAGACTTGCTTTGTATTGAATATAATATTGCAAGTAATTGTTTCATTTCTGATACTTTTTACCTGAAAATGAGAAGAAGTATTAATTTTGTGTCTATGGTATATGTTAAATTTCCAAACCCTGCATAATAACTATTCAGACAAATCCACTCCTGTTTGTCATTACAAGTAATGAGACAGAAAGAAGTAGCCAGTTACAACAGTACATTTTTGCCCAGAAGTAATAGGAACAGAGTACTTTATTCCTCTGTTGGTCGTTATGAAATAGTTCATATATGTTTTATTCATCTTTCAGAGTAAGAAAGAGAAGGATTCTCTGCCATTTTCTTCTACCTTTTTTTTTTTTTTTTTTTTTTTAAGATCTGCAGAGATCCTTATAATGTTAAATCAAAACATTGAAATCATCCATAAATCAAAACATTGAAATCATCCATGACAGTAAATCAAAAGAGACCCTTTTCTAACAGTGTTTTCATCATGGCATTGGTCTGATGACAAGTGCAATAAAGTTTGTCATCAGAAAGGAGAATGTGCCAGTACTGAAATGATTTCTGCTCTCCATCCCATCGCTCAAATTTACAGATCCTAGAAATAATTGATTTTGTTTTTTTTATTTTACCAAGTTTCATGTATATTATTATTTGATGTTTTTGAATATTGTTGTAGTAGAATCACAGACATATTGATGGCTTTCCTAGAATACCTAGAGAGCGGTGGCAGGGTTATTCCAAGTGCTTGGTTGAAGCCAGGTAATTTTCCTGCACCTGGTAACTTGGTGAGCCTTCTGCTCTTTTCAAATTTGTGATTGGTGAGGGAGATTAGAGAAGGGCAGATGGAAGAGACCAATATATGATTTGGGTCAGCCCCCTCGGATTCCTTTTTTGGCCCTGTTATCTTTGGAAGGCATCAGGCCATGACTGACTCCACATGCTCAATTTTCTCAGTTTCTAGTTTGTTTTCCCTATTGTGCTTGAGACTAAGAAGAAATAAGAAAAATAAGTATCTCAAACACACCATGACATATTTTTCCAGGCTGAGGTCGTGGTTGTTACTAAGTGTCATCTAGTCAGTTACAGCTCTTAGCGACCCTATATGGGTTCCCAAGGAGCGATTGGTGGGTGTGGATCAGGGACCCTGCTGCTAACAGTCCAGAGCTTATCTTGTAAGCATCACATTAGGCTCCCTTAGTGATGGTATTTTTGCATAATCTGTGTTGATCATTGAATGTATAAGACCACAGTTCCCCTTTACCAATTATCTAACCACCCCCCATTATTCTTTTCTCTTCCCGCTCATATACTTATAATTCCCACACTGGCATTAATTTACCTTTTTTTTTTCTTAAAAGAGAAGCACTATTTCCTTTTTTCCTCCGTAGTCTTCTTAAGAAAACCCATGTGTAGTGCAGTTCTTTCCCAGTGTTGTATTGCTCCTTTTGTAATAGAGTTTCTCCTGAGGAGCTCCAGGAAATATTTACTGAATTTGGTAAGCTTATATACTTTTCTTGTTTTCATTAAATAGAAAGAGAATAGGAAAACTGAAGAAAGAGTAACTTATCAGCAACCTCAGTTGATAGAAGTGAATTAGGTTATTTGCCTTAAAACCCTCCTGTTAATAATAAGTGGTTAAGGTAACCTTGGGCCTAGAGCTGTACCGCAGACTTCTGGATTTGGCAAAGTCTGAGTTCTTAGTGAGTCTCTTGTCATTATTACTTCTGTATTCTTTGTTCCTTTATTTCTCGAGAATTAATGAGGTAGAAAATTGAAATGAATGAATAGAGACAAAAAGATAATATAGTTTATGAGTACAAATGAAAGTGTTACATAATTTTATTTAAAAATTATGCAAATTAACAATATTCTCAGGGTTCAATTAAATATATTGTTGACTTTTTACTTGGTTCCTTGGCTAAAAACAAAAACCCCAAAAAGCAATTTGTGTTCTGTGGTGCCAAATTGATAATATTTTGTTTTAAAAGATGCTGGGATATCCTTAAATTATTAAGAGACACGGATTTTTTTGTTCCCAGTATATATGGTGTTCATTTTAAGATACTATGCAGGATATGTATTAGATAAAGCCAATTTTGTAAGTATGTAAATATGTTATAAATAAATTCTACTTTGACTGATTTCCCAAAGGTGTCTAGTGATTTTTTCAAGATGCTAATTTGATATTACTATTATATGAGGTGGGTATTTATTATTTATTTATCTATTAACTGGTTACTACATACCATGAATGCCCATAGAAAAGGAGCTTCAAAACACTGTCTTTCTGTTGGAACTATAGCAGCAGAGTTGCTAACTTTAGAGTCAAAGAAGTACTGATATTAAGGAGAAGGTACATTGCAGACAGCGGCAATAGGCCACAGGTTCAGACCTGTGTTCATGTGACGACATCTTCTGAGTCCTGGGCTTAATTTATAACCCTTGACCTCCAGAAGTGTCTGTGTCATTATTATGTACTATATTTGCTATTCTAAGCCTATGACCCCAGGATAAGTAATTTTTGTTTCAATCTGGGGGTAGGAAGGTACTTTCCAAAAGACAATACAAAATTGATTTTTTGTTTTGTTTTTGTTGGACAAACTATGATACTATTTTTAGTAAATTAGAAAAACACCAGTTTAGGGTCCAGAGAAGTCCTTGGTAAATTTATACTTAGTTTCAAAACGAACTGGAGAAGAAAAGTCTTGGCAATAGAAACAAAACTGCTAAGGTATAGTATTAAGGAGTTAATGACTTAAAGGGAATTCATTTTAAGCACATACAGCAGTAAGCAAGTAAAGAGAAATGAAAATTTATGTGATCTGTGCCTATTATTAGTTAGGCACTACATTTTGGTATTTGCGTAATGGTTATGAGTTAGACTGTTTACTTCAAGGTCAGCAGTTTGAAGCTACCAGCTGTACTTTAGGAGCAAGATGAGGCTTTCTGCTCCTGAAAAGATGTATAGCCTCAAACACCCTATGCATGGTTCCTATGAGTTGGAACTGACTCCATGGCGTACCACCACCACATTTTGATATTTAGTCAGAATTCTGTGTTTGTAGATGATGTTAGGTGTAACCCAGTTGGTTACAACTCCTAGTGATCCTCTGTACAATAGAACGAAACACTGCCTGGTCCTGCACCGTCCTCACAGTTGTGTTTAAGCCATTGCTGCTGCCACTGTGTCAGTCCATCTCATTGGCAGGCTTCCTCTTAGAGATGAGTTAACTAAAATCTAAGGGGTTTTCTACTTTTCCAAGATGACAAATAAGTCATGGAGATAAATTGAAAGCAGTGTATTACTTGCAAAATCATTGTCTTTAACAACATGCTCGATACTACAGAAGTTAGAGGTGCCTAATTTATGAGTATTTGTTGAATTAATCTAATTCAAATAAGGACATGAAGGCTTTTCCCATGTATGTTGTAGTTAAGTGCCGTCGAGTCCATTCCAACCCATAGCAACCCTGTATAGAATTTCCAAGGAGCAACTGGTGAGCTTGAACCGCCGACCTTGCGGTTCAAACAGCTTTGCAGTCTGGTGCATTAACCCACAGCACCACACGTATAGTTGTTATATATTGCTATGTTGAAGAATGGCTATTTTTATTTTTCACTTTTTTTTTTTTTTTTTTTTGTAAGTCCTGTTTTGGGCTCTGCTGCTGGTATGAAAAAGTCATAACGTTTGGATACCTGGACACTTTTCTCAAATTTGAAAACACAAACCATATATTCTTATAAGTATTTTTAGGATCAAAGCCAGAAATGTGGCTTTATTAGTATATTTGGAGAAAATATTTTCTTATTGTTAAGCCATGGGGCTCTGGTAGCATAGTGGTTACAAATCGGGCTGCTAACCTCAAAGTCAGCAGTTTGAAACTAGCAGCAGTTCTGCAGGAGAAAGTTGAGGCAGTCTGCTCCCGTGAAGATTTACAGCCTCAGAAACCCTGTGTAGGGTCATTATGAGTCGTAACTGACTCCAAGATACTTAACAACAACATTGTTAAGCCAGTCTTCAAA